GCAAAGAAACAAAAATATATGATAGTGTAAGTTTTTTTTGTCTTCAGTGAAATAATATTCTTTAAATAATCTTGAATCTTTGTAACTGAAGTGAAAACATTAAATCTTAAATATATATATATATATGTATATATGATGACAGCAAAAAAAGATTCATATTTGTTCCATGACTGTGCCTTTTGGCACTGAACTGTTCAAAGGAAATAATATAAAATCAAAATACAAACTTTACCATGAGAGCCACCGAGAGCTTTGAAAAATGAAAATAAAAAATGTATGACACTATAGGAACACTCACAGAGGATCACAGAGAAATATACATGCTTCGGCCTCAAACTCAGAAGGGAAATGAAATACCTACAAAATAAAGGAATTTCGGTGCAGAAACAGAGGAGAGGATGTGTGGGGAGTCGTCAAATTACACTCATGTGATATACAGTGAATACAACACACACACACACACACACACGTGTGTGTGTGTGTGTGTGTGTGTGTGTGTGTGTGTGTGTGTGTGTGTGTGTGTGTGTGTGTGTGTGTGTGTGTGTGTGTGTGTGTGTGTGTGTGTGTGTGTGTGTGTGTGTCCGTCCGTTCGTCCGTCCGTCCGTCCGTCTGTCTGTCTGTCTGCCAGTTAGTCAGTCAGTCACTCAGCCAGCTAGTCAGTCTGTCTATCTGTCAGTCAGTGAGTCAGTCAGTCCATCAGTATGTCTGTGTGTCTGTCTGTCCGTCTGTGTTTGTGTCTGTCTGACTGTCTGTCTGTCTGTCTATCTATCTGTCTGTCTATCTATCTGTCTGTCTATCAGTCAATCAGTCCGTTGTCTATCTGTCATCTGTGCGCATGTATTTATGTACGTACATATGTCTGTATGCGTATGTGTGTGTGTTCGTGCATGTGTGCACGCGCGCGTGCTTGAGCGTGCGTCTGTGTATATGTTTAATCAAAACAGGAAACCAAAGGAAACATGAAAACAAAAGAGGGAAAACAGGGCCGCAATGAATATTAGCAAAGCACAATATTTGGGAACGTTAATGTTAACTACTAACATTGGGTATTTATACTTGGTTCTTCATTACACATTTGATATAAAACCATGACCAATGAACTCAAATTACAAAAGCTGACTCTCACAAAGGATATCCAGTAGGAAAAAAATAATGAACACATTTTGGAACAGACAGAAGAGTAAAACGTTAACACAGAGAGAGAGAGAGGTCTGTTACCCCCACTTGACTCTACGCATACAAGGAAACACGGGTCATCGCTTTGACCTGAGTCGACCCCCACAGACCAGCATGCATGAGATAAGGGGTTGGACTACTCTACAACTCAGACAATACACGGAAGGAAACTCTAATCTGGGACAAAACAGCTGGAAGAAACAGACCAATTGAACTCTTCGGGACCAAGAGCTCTGACACACACACTACAACCACGTTAGATGTTGGGCCGAGGAGGGGAGAGGGGGGGGGGAGGTGAGGAAAGTGAGAAAGGGAGAAAGAGAGAGAGGGAGAGAGGGAGAGAGGGAGAGAGGGTGAGAGGGAGAAAGAGAGACAAGGGAGGAGGAGGGTAAGAAAAGTCAACTTGTTAGGCAGAGTCAATATGGAAGGTCACTCCTCACCGGTAGTGGGGCTGCCCGCATCTCCCGAAGGTCCAGATTCCTGAAGAAGTCCATACAAAGGATCTCCTCGATGCTCGGGTACTGGTCGCCGTTGCCGAAGATGTACTCCAGCACCTGCACCACCTGCGGGGGCGGCGAGCGGCCGTGTAATCTACTCTTTTCTGGCGCATCCACAGTACAGCCGGTTTTTTTAAATATCTTCAAATTAATTAAATGGTTTACTGAAAAAAAAACTCAGCACCCTTATATTGAACGAACAGATAGAATCATCCACTCATTAAAAACACGCATAAAACAATGACATCTACTCCCACACCTCAACACACAATGAGAACACAGACACCTACACCCGTCCAGTGCAGTGACTTCGCAAAGGAGTACCTGAGGATAAGCAGCGATGTCATCCAGATGTTTGGGCGTCGGGTGGGCGGCCGAGAGCTCGTAGCCCGCGCACATCTCGAACAGTACGTGGCCTGATGATGCAATAAGGGTCATGTTTGTTTTTTTATCCAAGCATGGATATTGGTTAATGATTGATTATTATGTTTTTTGTTGTTGTTATTATTGTTTATATTGTTTTGTTAGTGCTGGCGGTATTATCATCCTCAATATTATTATTATCATTATTATTATTTATAATATTACTATTACCACTATTATCATTATCATTGCTATTACTATTATTACTATTATCATCATCATCATCATCACCATCATCATTATTATTATTATCATCATAATGATTATCATTGTTATTATTATTATCATTGTTATTATTATCATTATTATTATTATTATTATTATTATTATTATTATTATTATCATTATTATTATCATCATTATCATTATTATTATTATTATTATTATTATTATCATTACCATTA